ATTTACTATCAACTAGTACTACCTTCTACCACATATACTATCAACTAGTAATATCTTCTACCACATATACTATCAACTAGTAATATCTTCTACCACATTTACTATCAACTAGTTCTACCTTCCACCACTATACTATCAACTAGTAATATCTTCTACCACATATACTGTCAACTAGTACTACCTTCCACCATATTTACTATCAACTAGTTCTACCTTCTACCACATATACTATCAACTAGTACTACCTTCCACCATATTTACTATCAACTAGTTCTACCTTCTACCACATATACTATCAACTAGTAATATCTTCTACCACATATACTATCAACTAGTAATATCTTCTACCACATTTACTATCAACTAGTTCTACCTTCCACCACTATACTATCAACTAGTAATATCTTCTACCACATTTACTATCAACTAGTACTACCTTCCACCACATTTACTATCAACTAGTACTACCTTTCACCATATATACTATCAACTAGTTCTACCTTCCACCACTATACTATCAACTAGTAATATCTTCTACCACATTTACTATCAACTAGTAATATCTTCTACCACATATACTGTCAACTAGTACTACCTTCCACCATATTTACTATCAACTAGTTCTACCTTCTACCACATTTACTATCAACTAGTACTACCTTCCACCACATTTACTATCAATTAGTAATATCTTCTACCACATATACTATCAACTAGTTTTACCTTCCACCACATTTACTATCAACTAGTACTACCTTCCACCACATTTACTATCAACTAGTACTACCTTCCATCACATTTACTATCAACTAGTACTACCTTCCACCACATTTACTATCAACTAGTTTTACCTTCCACCACATTTACTATCAACTAGTACTACCTTCCACCACATTTACTATCAACTAGTACTACCTTCCACCACATTTACTGTCAACTAGTACTTTGCAAAATACATATTTTCTCTCACGCACCCAACATTTGTTGATATTTATTCTACGAATTACGCTTTATGTAAGTTGACAAACGTGTTGTTACTTACCTAAAATTAGAATTTTCTTCGAGCATTTCCAGAGTGCTTCGTTCCGGAGGCGTGAGAACCTTGTCAATGATGTGAATGATGCCATTCTGGCCTTCTTTATCTGCTTTAGTGATCATTGCTGACTCTACCCCCAAAGCCTACATGGAAAGCAGGAAACGAAATCTGTTGTATGACATTTGAATATTAATTCTAAGTACTATAGCATGCTCATTGAAACACGTAGCCATGTGCAATGCAGTTGAGCTTGTATTCACATGCTAGCTTCAGTAGTTTGACTTTCACATGTGAAAGCAATTAATTTTGAAATTAAATGGACACTATTAATAATTACTACTCGCCCAAATCGGGGTAAATCGTATAACACATGCAAATTTACTACCAAACTTGGAGCTCTTCAATTGACGACATATGTAGTGTTAAAAGTTGTATTTTTCTTCAATAATGTTATATATATATATGCCTGTTTACACACAAAAGCATTTTGACTTTTTTTCACGTATACATACATAAGAAGTCTAGGCCCAATGAACAGCTTTGATCGATCAAAATTCTTAAAACACCCAAACAGTTCATTTTTAGCACTTAGCTATAACAGCCAATGTAATTTGTACATTACCATCATCTATAAATTTATACAAAAATAATCCTGAAAGTAAAATCAGAAAGAAAAAGATCCACAAGCGATGTTATTTGCAAGAAATATCTATCGGCTAAATATTTCGTTATTATATATATATATATGTAAAATTAGTTATTTCACTTAAATGATTTTATCCAAAACGGTATGTCTGCGGAATTATAACGCTAGAATCCGGGTTTCGATACTCGTGGTGGGCAGAGCACAGACAGCCCATTGTGTAGCTTTGTGCTTAATTACAAACAAACAAACAATTATCCAAAACAACTTGTTTGGATATTGAAACAGGGTTCAAAATATCGATAGTTTTCAAAATTCTAATAATTTTAAAACTTGAATTTCAAACTAAAAATTAAAGTTCGAAACACTTTGTTATTTTGCTATTTTTTTGTCTACATTTTTGATAGTAATAGTTCTAAGAATTCCGTTTATTTCTGACATGGTATATATATGACAAGTAAAGACAGATATCATGAGTGTGTCGCGAGTGTAATTTTATGCAAACCATTATTAATGTGTAAGATTTCAGAAGGAAAGAAAATACTGTTGTGTCATCGAGATCACATGACTACAGTGGCGCCCTCTAT